CAAAGCTTACACAGGTTAAGTAACTTGCTCAGTATCTCAGAACTGGCAAGTGAGAGAGTTGTGATGTGAATACAATAGATGAGCTGGTGGTGAATAAATGCATGAACCTGGCCTGGTTAGGGAGAAATACTAAATCCCTAGAGCAGGCAGAAGCTTGTAAACAACTTTCCTTTGGTCTGGGCAGGACAAGCTAGTGGGTACATGCAGAAGATGACTCTGTGAGCTCAGGCTGAGCACTCACCTAGAGAATACACAGGCTCAGGCCAGCTTGTAAGTATAGTAGTAACGCACTGCTCAGGCAAAGCTGGAACACACGCATTATCAGTCAGGGTCCATTCCCTGACTGACCTGCATACACCAGGAGTGTATGCCCATGATCCTGGCTGGCTGAGAAAGCTGGTGAGGGCATCATGGTGGGAGATGCCAAGGGTGCTTGTCTTTCTCTCTGTCTCTCTCTCATGGAAAAAAAAAAAAGTTAGAGATCCAAGCTCCAGTTCCAAGACTGCTAATAACAAGACAGCTGTGCTGGCCAGGCCATTCGCTGCTCCCCAGGCCCTAGGGAGGAGAGTTCTCAGTGAAGTCCCCTCCCATTTAAATACTGAGGCTTTCATTGATCAATTCATCGATCAGTCCTATGAGCTGTTCTAGGAAAAGCCTGTCTAAGATGATAGCTACATCCTCTCCTCGTTCCTCAAGATAACTTTTTTGCTTTTTATTCGCCATAAAGTACCTTATTATGCTGGAGAGATGTTTGTACATCCTGCCCTCTAAGTGCAGAGATATGAACAACAGGAGGAAGGAGTTTTGTTCTGTTTTGTTTTATTTCCAACACCAGTGGTTCTAGAGGAACTATCGCCTAAAGATGAGTTTCCACACATCCACCCATACCCTCAGTCTGATATGAGGCTTTACACATACTTTATTAGAGTATTTTAAAGGGGGGTAGAATGTTGTCAGATGCAGCTTCAGGAGGAAACCACCTCTCTTTTCCACCTTCTAAGATTCTTTTTAAAGTTTCTTTCTTCTATGAATGAGAGAGACAGCATTCCCATCATGGTTTCCATACCACAATCCACCACAGCTTTAGCCAGCCTCAGAGCAGGGTCATTCTGGTGCCCAGCATATTCCAGGATGTCTCTGGATGGAACTCAGAACCCTCACAGAGTGTTGTAAGTGGTCAGCATCACAGAACATTCTGTCACCACTGTGCCACCGTCCAATCCCTAATATCAATTTCCTAATCTATTGGAGGATGACTCCAAGACTCAGAGTGAAAAGGTCAATAAGGAAGATAAGTAACACTTTGGATCCCCTCACTATGCCAATCCCTGTAGACAGCATTTGATTTATATCATCTCATTTAATCCTCCTGACACTCTTGTAAGGCAGGAAGTTCTATTTCCATTTTACAGATATCCATCTGATGTTCAGAGAGATGAGATGAATTTGTTTATTGTCCCACAACTGCTGAGCAAAAAAGTAGGGCTCAAAATCAAACCCATACCCTCGCACTGCATTGTGTACCTCCTGAAATGACCTGTGCTAAGTTTTCTGCACCATAAATGAAAATGTGCTGAAATTGATTGGAACCCGTTGAATGGGCTCTGAAGTTGCTGGTTTATTTCATCAAATACATTGGTATTTGTCCCTTGCCTACCAATGCTCTGATCACATTAAATTTATAGTGAGTAGCCCTACCTTCATAAGGGAGTTTGTAATGGATATGACTCCAGTTTCCCTCATCTCTTAGGGTCCTGGTTCCATTAAGATTCTCAGGGCTGTACAAGAAATTGTATTCCTGCCCCACTGCCTCTGGGCCATTCCATCAAATCAGTTGAAGAAGCATCATCATCCTATTTATTAAATCTTCAGTCCAGAATACTTTGTCTGCATTGGTGATGCAACCCAGGGTTCTACAATCAAGGAACTATAGGTATCCATTATCCAAAATGCTGAGGACCAGAAATTTTGGAATTCAGACTTCTTTGTATTTTGAAATATTGAAATATTTTCATATACATAGTGAAATATCCTGGGGATGAGATCCACATTTAAACATGAAATTCATTTGTTTTATAGTTACCTGATACACACGGTCTGAAGATATTTTTACATAATTATTTTGTACTGCGTGTGATAGGACTCTTGTCCTAGGTTCTATCAGATGAGTCAGCTGAGATTTTCACTCATGGCATCATGTCAGCATTTACAACGTTCCAGATGTCAGAGCATTTCAGATTTTGGATTCTCAGCTTAGGGATGCTCAACCTGGATAGCATAACTTTAATCCCTCCTGCTATGATCCAAGGATCCATTCCCCAGGATCCTGGTGGAGTCATCGCTATGACCTTAGAACCGTGGAAATGTAGCCCGATGCACAGGTTATCAGGCAAGAGCAATGGCACAGCCTTCCCTCCCTCTCCAAAGCTCTGCTTCCAGCCCCTCTAACTTGCTCATTTACTCCTCCGTATTTAGTCCTGTGGTAATTACTTAGACCATTGGTATTAAAACAGAGGCAATTTTACCCCCCAGGGGACATTTGGCAATGTCTGGAGACAGTGTTGGTTGTCTCAATGGTGAGGGTATACTACTGGCAGCTAGGGGGACGTCTAGGTCAGCAATGCTGCTGAGCATCCTACAATCCGGAGGAAAGCCCCCCAACAACAAAGAGTTAGCAGACCCAAATGTCAATCATGCCACAGTCGAGAAACTCTGATTAAGACCCAGGAGGGCACGTTTCTGCCAGGAGTGCTCCTCCCCCGCACTCTGCCTGTGTCCTTTGCTGTCACATCTCGTTGATCAGGGCATTTATTCCCTCTGAGCCCAGTTCTGAACCCAGAATCCTCACAACACAGAGCTCCAGGCAGCCTCTAGTGAGTGATGGGTGCTGAAATGCAAAATGAACTCTATTGGCCATCCTTACATTACACGCTTTTTGTGTTGGCCATATTCACCTACTTACATTGTAAACCTTTTGAAGCAAAAACCATGTCTTCCTATATTCTTTATAGCTCCCACTAGCACCAAGATGAAGAAAAGAAATGATGGAAAGGAGACAGAGAAGAGAGCATAAGAGAGAGAGAGGGAGAGAGAGAGAGAGAGCGAGCCAGAGAGCCAGGGAGAGAAACAAAGAAAATTAAAGAGGAAAAAAACAAGGGGGAAAGAAGTAAAAGTAAAAAGAAGAAGCAAAGTTCAAAATGAGGCACCACTGAGATAGAAGCTATGGAATAACTCAAGCAACCCCTCTCCTTGGGAGTTTATGTTGTACACATCTAAGGCTTTTCCAAGTAAAAAGAGCTATCGTCATGA